TGTGTGTGTGTGTGTGTGTGTTGATTTACAGCGTCTCTAAAGCCTCTCCACTCCTCCACGGCTGTCTCTGCAGGTCCACGATATCAGTCTGAAGGGTCATCATCTCCTCCTCCAGCTTATTCACGTCTTCTGTCTGACACACACACACACACACACACACATTACAACGCTAAAACACAGGTTACAGCAGCACAAACATTAGCTATGATCACTGGCACGGCTGACAATATGAAATCACACACACGCTCTTCTTACCTGTCCACAGTCCAGGGCGGTTTGCTCCATTTCTCTCCAGACACTCAATAATTTTTCAGAGGCTGGAAAACATGTAAACAGCCACAGCATGAGCAAATCTACACTTAGTGTACACTTGTTCTGAAAGCAATGCTAAACAGAATTGAGCGCCTGTGTTGTGACTTAAATTAGTCATAAATGCTTAGTATAATGTTTAATTCATTGTTTTCGATAATAAGAACAGAGACAGTTTATATAGTCATTTGTCGGGATGTTCCCCTTTTAAGAAAACATTTCCCATAATGCTTTTTAGTGCTGAGAGTGCGTTGTGAGAAGTGAACTGATGTGTGCGCGCTGCTAAAGTGAACTCAGTAAATCAGTTCTTTTGTTTTAATTCAAGTCGTCAGTGGTCATTATGGCTTGCTAAGCAAAGAAGACATGACAGCCTGTGTGTTTGGTTATGTGTGGAATTTCATACCTATAATACTGTTTCTTCAATATGCAGTACGTACACTGCATGCAAACTAAGTATGCAGATATTTTTCACATGAAATCTGGAAAAACCAGATGACCTACTACTGCTATATCCCTCAATGCAATGCACTGACCCTCCATTTCCAGAGTGACAAGTGAATAGGACAGGATGTCAAGTGCTTATTTTATAATAATAATAATAATAATAATAGTAAAATAATTAGTAGTTAATTAATTCTTTGGAAATGATGTTAAGTGTTTTTAATAATAATAATGATAAATAAAATGAATGAGTTAATTATTTGGAAAGGATATCACATGCTTTTTTAAACTAATAATAATAATAATAAATTATTTGGAGATAATGTCAAGTGCTAATTTAAAAAAAATAATACTTATAATAAAGAAATAAAATAAATTATTTGGAAAGGACATCACATGCTTTTTAAAAATAATAATAACTAATCATTATTTGGAGATAATGTTATATATATATACAGTAATAGAAAAAGATTATATCTCACAATTCTGACTTTTTTTTTTTTTTAGAATTGTGAGAAATAAACTTGCAATTCTGAGAAAAAAGTTGCAATTGTAAGATATAAACTCTGACTTGGAATTCTGACTTACTTTCTCACAGTTCTGAGTTTACATCTCAAAAGTCAGACTTTTTCTCTCTGAATTCTGAGTTTAGACAGTAACTCACGGACGAATCGGATGTTCTCAGGAAGGACACGCGGCGTAAACTGAGGCTCGTAGCTGTAGCAGGAACGGTCAAACAGGAAAACCAGCGGCTCATCTGCCCGCCGAGTGTCCATCATCTAAACAACACAAAACAATCAGGATTATATCAACACTCTAAATAAACTGGGTCAATTAAATCAGCTTGAATTTTAAGAAAGCTGCTGTTCCACCTAGGGCTGTCAAATAAAAATTCGAATTTCGAATATTCGTCGAATTTAAAATTGCATTTGCATTTGAATTTTAGGTGTGCGTCAGGCTGCCTTATCAGTGGCGTACAAAATGTGATGACGATGTAAGTGCCGTTGCTCTATATCCCTCAATGCAATGCACTGACCCTCCATTTCCAGAGTGACAAGTGAATAGGACAGGATGTCAAGTGCTTATTTTATAATAATAATAATAATAATAATAGTAAAATAATTAGTAGTTAATTAATTCTTTGGAAATGATGTTAAGTGTTTTTAATAATAATAATGATAAATAAAATGAATGAGTTAATTATTTGGAAAGGATATCACATGCTTTTTTAAACTAATAATAATAATAATAAATTATTTGGAGATAATGTCAAGTGCTAATTTAAAAAAAATAATACTTATAATAAAGAAATAAAATAAATTATTTGGAAAGGACATCACATGCTTTTTAAAAATAATAATAACTAATCATTATTTGGAGATAATGTCAAGTGCTAATTAAAAAAATAATAATACTTATAATAAATAAATAAAATTAATTATTTGGAAAGGCTATCAAGTGCTTATTTTAAAATAATAATAATACATTAATTATTTGGAAAGGATATCAAGTGCTTATTTTTTAAAATAATAATAATAATTAATTATTTGGAAAGAATGTCAAGTGCTTATTTAAAAAAAAAAAAAATTTATTAATCCGAAAGGATATAAAGGGATTTTTAAAACAATAATAAAATAAACAGATATAAATTAATTAATAACTGATAATCAAAGTGCTTTTGACTATCTTCCTTGCCAATTATTTGATTAGAAGTTAATATATTTTTGCGTAAAATTAGATTCAATTACTAAAAGAACATTTTAATTTCTAAGATGATAACTGGACGCCCCTCACTGAATTAAACATGCAATGTAATGAGGTCATGTAAAACTTTTATAATACTCTTCCACATACTATTTTTAAACAACAATAAGCATTTACAGTGTACACTAGTATTTCATTTTGATCGTGTGTGGTACCGATGCCCGTCGCTCTCTGCTCCTGGTATTTGTCGATGTCGATGTGCAGACTGGTGCTGAAGAACTCCAGCGTGGCTTTTAACCTCTGGTGCATCGACACCATCTCGTTCTTCTGCTTTGACAGCGTGCCGTTGTGTCTGAGGAGACTCATGCTGGAACAGAGAGAGCGAACGGGTCACTTACAGCCTCTCACATCAGCGTTAGCTCGTACAGAGCACTTCTCGTCTTACATGGCGACTTTCTGGCCTTGCTGCAGTCTCTGCCAGTCCTCCTTCAGCGCGCGGATGGTGTGCCACACTTGACCCCACGTGCGTCTCTGGGAGCTGTAGGGCAGCAAGCGCTTGGGCTCGTTCTCTGCGTCACAAAACACAGATTAGTTTAGGCGCCCTTCTTATTTACTGCAGTAATGAACAGTATTGTTATTGTAGGCACTTTAAAATGCCTTGAATGATTTTTGATCATCTATTAGGTGTTATTCAGATTTTTTAGAATGCTTGTTTTCCACCAATCGGTCATGTAAACAAAACCAGCATGGATGAGTAGTATGGTGGGAACGAGTGTAGGAGACCAGCTGAATGAAAATGCTAATTCACTCTTAGAGAAAAGCAGAAATAATGCGGTTTGTCCTGTAAACAAAACATGCTGTGCTACTTTCTGTTTCAGACACGTATGTCACGGAAAAGAGAGGAAGTCAGACCATATTTATGTTTTCAAACAGCCGTTTAAATTTTTGTATTCACTATGGTGTTTATGAAATAATGCCAAATATTTAACTACTTAATATTAATTTTCAAACATTTGTGTACGCATAAATATTTTTACATTTTAATCTGGACTAAAACATAGCAGATAAAACATCTGAAAAAGTTTTGATTCTTTAATATTTTTTTTTATTATTCTGTATTTGTATGTTTTATTGTGTAAATTGTTTATATTTTATTTCATATTTATATTATTTTATTTTATTTTTTTAATGGAAGCATATTTCTACCACATAATATATATATTATTTTGTGTTATATTATATGCCGTTGCTTTTTAATGCTTTTTTTAGCCTATCCAGTTGAACCCACTAGATGCGGCGCTGCTACGTTGTTCATTCAAAATATTGCGGGAAAAACAGAACATCAGTGCGGAGAAGATCTTGTTTACGTCAAAACTGAAACCACGCCGTTCACACACAAAATTCACACAGAATTTTTCTAGAGGGACATCTATCACCGTTGCACTCGCGTCTCACACAAGAGAGCCACATGTTTAGAAAGCCGCGTAAAATTAATGTAAGCTCAACTTTTAAAAAACATGTCTCCAGACTTTATGGCGTTTTTATTTTATTTTCCATCCCACTGCATCTCATGTTTTTAAATGAAAAAAGTACTCTGTGTGATTGGCTTTCGTTCCTTTGTATTAAACTATGCATACATGATGCTGTTTTGTTTATAATCGTTTAAGCAACTTAATTAATTATATTTGGTTTATAAACACTATGCACTTTTTCACAGATAGTCATGTTATTTTATTGCTTTAATAAATGTGCATTAGTAATATTTTGCTCGATGCGCCCTCTTGTGGCCTAATGAGAGAAGCCAAAAGCTTTTTTCACCCTAACTGAAATTATGCCTTTTAAGTTTGAATATAATTCGAATACTGATAAAAATTCAAATTTAGCTTTTTTTTTGCCATTTTGACAGCCCTAGTTCCACCAAACATACGCTATAATCGATTGCACACTGCGTGACGCTGTTGTGCGGCTCGAGCGCAAGCCCCGCCTCCAGCAGCAGCTCCTGATTGGCCGGAGGAATGCGAGCGTCCTGCGCGATTCGCTCCTGCAGGGATGCCACGTCCTCCTGCGGTTGCACCGAATAGGTGAATATTTCAGCAGAGGTCATGTTGAGCACATGGACCAGCTGAGGAGACAGAGACCATCGCATTAGACATGTTTACATGTGACACTGTGATCACTCCATTGACGAGAGCTACCTTTAGATTCAGAATTCGGCTTAATTCATCGAAGCAGAAACAGGAAGCTTTCGGAGAGTCTTTGCTCCCCTCTGAGCTGCCTTCTTTACTGTCCTCTTCCGAGTCTTTGACCCCGTCCTGACTGTCGTGGCTCCGCTTTCTTAAATCTTTGCCCCGCTCTTTAGGTGACCATCTTAGCATCATTTGTAGCCAGCTCTCCAGTTCACCAGCTAACAGTCTGAAACACATAGTTATAGTTTGATTAACTACGTGGGCTACATTTTTATTATGAATTTGTTAAAGTCTGCATGAAATCAAAATTAACAATATTTATTTTGTTAGCGCACATTGCTAGCCTTAAGGTCAACGATTAATCCGTGCAAGTTAATCCTCTAAAACAAATTGTTCGTCTTGGTAATCTTTAATCAAAATCCAGAATGGCACTCCTTCTCTGATGACGTCAGTTTGACGGCTTCGGCAGAATATGCTTAATCACGACCCTCCAACCGTTAGTTTGCTGCGAACGAAAGACGAGAGGAGGAGCTCAAAAACAAAACCCCGCCCTCTACTCAATATTCTTATTGCTTTAATAAATGTGCATTAGTAATATTTTGCTCGATGCGCCCTCTTGTGGCCTAATGAGAGAAGCCAAAAGCTTTTTTCACCCTAACTGAAATTATGCCTTTTAAGTTTGAATATAATTCGAATACTGATAAAAATTCAAATTTAGCTTTTTTTTTGCCATTTTGACAGCCCTAGTTCCACCAAACATACGCTATAATCGATTGCACACTGCGTGACGCTGTTGTGCGGCTCGAGCGCAAGCCCCGCCTCCAGCAGCAGCTCCTGATTGGCCGGAGGAATGCGAGCGTCCTGCGCGATTCGCTCCTGCAGGGATGCCACGTCCTCCTGCGGTTGCACCGAATAGGTGAATATTTCAGCAGAGGTCATGTTGAGCACATGGACCAGCTGAGGAGACAGAGACCATCGCATTAGACATGTTTACATGTGACACTGTGATCACTCCATTGACGAGAGCTACCTTTAGATTCAGAATTCGGCTTAATTCATCGAAGCAGAAACAGGAAGCTTTCGGAGAGTCTTTGCTCCCCTCTGAGCTGCCTTCTTTACTGTCCTCTTCCGAGTCTTTGACCCCGTCCTGACTGTCGTGGCTCCGCTTTCTTAAATCTTTGCCCCGCTCTTTAGGTGACCATCTTAGCATCATTTGTAGCCAGCTCTCCAGTTCACCAGCTAACAGTCTGAAACACATAGTTATAGTTTGATTAACTACGTGGGCTACATTTTTATTATGAATTTGTTAAAGTCTGCATGAAATCAAAATTAACAATATTTATTTTGTTAGCGCACATTGCTAGCCTTAAGGTCAACGATTAATCCGTGCAAGTTAATCCTCTAAAACAAATTGTTCGTCTTGGTAATCTTTAATCAAAATCCAGAATGGCACTCCTTCTCTGATGACGTCAGTTTGACGGCTTCGGCAGAATATGCTTAATCACGACCCTCCAACCGTTAGTTTGCTGCGAACGAAAGACGAGAGGAGGAGCTCAAAAACAAAACCCCGCCCTCTACTCAATATTCCGTTTCAGTTGGAAATACGTCACCATACTGAAATAAAGTCGGAAGCAACTTCCGGTTCCGGCGGACTTTAATATCAGAGTTACTATCATTAACTAAAACTAAAACCATAAAAAGAAAAAAAAATCATTACTTGAAACGAAATAATAAAATATAAAAAATTATAATTATGAATAATTATAAAAAACTATTAAATATAAAACCCTAACATTATTTTATTTAAGCTAGTTGCCAAAGCAATATTTCTCATTTTTGTTTAGTTTAACTTCAAGTACTAAAATAACTAAAACAAAATAATCAACTATATAGACATATTCAAAACTAATAAAATTACAAAAAACAAAATCGTTAAAACTTTGACTAAAATTAAAGTGAAAATATAAAAATAACTCTAAATATTAACAAAAACTATAACAGTAAATCAATGATACTTACTTTCAGTAAAAAGTTTCTGAATAATTTATCTTAACACTAGATTAATTACTGTAAACCTGCTTTATAGTTTAAATTGATGTTGTAATTATAAAAATTTTAATACTAAAAAATATGAAAATGACTAATTTCTGAAACTGAAGAACTTTGCAACATTTTGTTTATTACGATCAGCTGCTTTAACGCAATCTGTATTGTATTAAGTACTATATAAATAAATGTGACTTGATTCCGTTTACTTATTAAGACATTCATATTCTGTTGCTGTAACCAAGTGGGAGAGGAAAAATCTAATTAACCAATAATATCACAGACCGCTTTCATGATCCAATCAAATACTGATGGATAAAATCAAGTCCCGTTCTACATAATTTTACCATTGTATATTCAGTTTCACATTACAGATTGTCATTTAACAGAATCGAATGTATCATAAAAAAAACTGTAACATTTCACATTCTTAGTAACAGATCCACTTGTTCATGTGGCCACGGGACTTACTTGTTGAGGTTGTGAGGGTTCGGGAGGTGTTTGGAGAATCGAACTTCTCCCGTCAGATCCTCGTAAACCACAATATCATCCACTTGTTTCTGCAACAGCTTGCTGTGCCTGAGAAAAAAGAGAGCAGTGAAAGTTCAAGCGAACCTGGAATTATTTTGCAACACACCCTTCAGCGCTGGCGTCAGTCTTGATTTTTCGACGTTCTCAGATGTTATGTTTTAAAAACAGTCCGTGTGGTGAGAATACTGGAGCGTGGCCAATCACAGTACAGAAATCTCTGGAAAAACAAACTGCTGAAGCAGAAATATTATCTTTACTCAAACATAAAATATTAGAACAATAGAGTTTCATGGAGGTTTATGAAGTTTTTTTTCTGAACTCTGGCTCAAGCTGTCAGGTCATGACTTATGAAAAGCTGTGCTTTTGTTTCGTGTCTTGCTGATGGATATAGATACAGAATTTAACCGATCACGCTAAGGCTGATTTACACTGATTTTACACTGGCACTGAATCAAGTACACACATGCCACCACTGGTACATTAGCAAAAAAGAAAGAAAAGTAGTTGTTTTTTTTATATATTTGTGACCTTGGACCACAAAACCAGTCATAAGGGTCATTTTTTTAAAATGGCGGTTTATGCATCATCTGAAACTGAATAAATAAGCTTTCCATTGATGTATGGTTTGTTAGGACAGGACAATATTTGGCCGAGATGCAACTATTTGAAAATCTGGAATATGAGGGTGCAAAAAAATCTAAATATTGAGAAAATCATCTTTAAAGTTGTTCAAATTAAGTTCTTAGCAATGCATATTACTAAACAAAAATGAAGTTTTGATGTATTTACAGTAGGAAATGTACAAAATATCTTCATTGAACATGATCTTTACTTAATATCCTAATGATTTTTGGCATAAAAGAAAAATCTATAATTTTGACCCATACAATGTATTGTTGGCTATTGCTACAAATATACCCCAGCGACTTATGACTAATTTTGTGCTCCAGGGTCACATATATTTAATAAAATTATTATTAATTATTTTATAAATCGTGTAATTTCCACATATCTGCATGTCAGACTTGCTCAGTTACAGTTAACCTTCCTTATCAGCCTGTTTTATTTATTTAAAAGCAGGATAGGAAGCCAGATGCTCTAGAACAGTGGTTCTCAAGCCTCAGTAAATTTCCAAGGCAATTTTTAAAAATAAAGATATTTCTCTTAATTAATCCCCTCAACAAGTATTTGATTTTCTTTGAAGAACCAGGATTCCCACAGTCTTGGAAAACTGATATATATATATATATATATATGAGGAAGCCTCACTGTAAAAGTGTGATTTTTTAGACCTGGAAAAGTCATGGAAATTAATAAAATGGGAATATTTTATAAAGAATGTCATTTTTTTTCTAGTTATGCCAAGCTCTAAAATATTTCATCAAGTAGAAGTTGTGTTTAATATTTTTTCCTCGGTTTAGAAGAGTGGGAATCATGAAGAACATTCATCTTATGAAACTTTTGGAAAACTGAAATTTAATGTATAGAAACTACAGTTTCCAAATATTAAAAAAATTGCAATAATAATAAAAAAGTTTACTATTGAAAAAAATTTCATATTAATTACAGCAGATACATAAATGAAAAATATTATTAGCCTACATGGTGTGAATTTTGTGGACAATGGGGAGCCTTGGAGTCCAAAAAGGTTGAGAACCACTGATCTAACAGAGAAACATCAAATCAGTGTATCAGGCCTTGCAGTGTAAAATTCTGCTACAGACAGCTGAGGGCATAAACACCATTGCACGGGTTGCCAGGTTGGTAGAAAAGGCCTGAATCCTGTGATGCACTCAAACACCAGCGTCCCAAAACTCCAGTAATCCACCGCCACCGTGTACTTCTGCTGTTCTAACAGCTCAGGGGCCTGAGAGAGACACACAGACAGCAGGAGAGAGAAAGAAATGCCTTTATATCAGTATAGATGAGAGTGGGAACAATGAGAAGTCTTGCATTTTGCACAGATGTAATGTCGTACTCACCAAATATTGCAGCGTCCCAACAAACGATGTGCACAGGCTGCTCTGGTCCAGCTCTTTAGCGTAACCCAGATCTATGATCTTATGAACCAACTACAGGAAAAAATGCAGAAATGCATCTTTAATTTAGCAATAAAAGTATAAAAATAGTACCATCTTAATGTTTTCAAAAAACAGTTAGTGCAGAATAAAGGACAATTTTTTATTAAACATTATTGCTTAGTGAAACCGTGTTTTACACTTCTCTCTGCACTCACCCGTTTTTCTCCCTGTTGAAGGACGATGTTTTCTGGTTTGAGGTCTCTGTGAATAATCCTCATCCCGTGGAGGTACGTCAGTGCTGAGGCTAGAGAGAGAGATTTTTAATTAACAACTCAAATATGGCCTTCTCAAATGCTCATGTATTAGTTATATTTACATTGTAATGAGATAATGAATAGAATTTTAGACACAAATGCTTAGCCGACTCGTGCAGGTCCAGAATGTACAGTGTGTGTTAATGTGTTTCCTTCAAATGTCTGTCCTGATATAAAATGTCAACAGTTTAACTCATTTTAACTACCTTACTCAGCAAGATTTCTTCAAACTGTTGCCAAAAGATGAGGAAGAGTCTTATTTTTGTGCAAATATTAAAAGACAAACTGATAGTTTCACCCCAACGTACGCCATTGGTTAAACCAGTGTCACTGCATTTACACTTTTTAGGAAGTCATACAACTAGTGATTTATTTATAGTGGCTCAGATATGTCAAAGTATTTTAACACTGACAAAATAACTCCCGTTCTATAGTTCACCCAAAAATGAACGTTCTTTTATCATTTAGTCAAACATTATTTCTTCTGTGGAAAATGATTTTTGTATTTTTTTCCCCATGACTTTTGCGTTCTGCAGAAGAAATAAAACCATACAGATTTGGATCAACATATGGGTGAGTAAATGATGACAAAAATGGCATTTTGGGTGGACTGTTCCTTCATTAAATCAAAGCCAACACTCTCACTGACTGCCAAAGTGAAATTCCAAGTAAAGTCAGATTATTTCTCTAAAGGCTTCCCAATAAACTCAATAATAAGGTCACATAGCAAAAGCAGTCCATATTACTGAAACCATGACTTACACATCAACTGACAGACAAGCACTAAGTTCACAGAGATCATTCAGAACCGCAATGTTTTGACTGAAGAGCAGAAATTGAACAGGATGAGGCCAGTGACTAAATCCAGGTTTTCACATGATTGTGATTTACCAGGAAAATCTCTGGCGGACCACAGAGTGACGTTAACATAAGAGTTGTGTACGGCACGGTGACATGTATGACCTTTCTTTAGATCCAGTTTGAGCTTGATTGTTCTGGATTGACAACTATTGACTCATTTGGGTCTGTTTTTATTTCTACTGAGGGGTTCTAGGAAACGTTTCTAAAGCAAAGTTGACGGTTAAATGAATCATGGTTAAATTAAGCTAAACATCTCCATAGGCTCCACAGGTTTGGGATGACATGACAGTGAATAAATGATGATAGAATTGCCATTTCTGGATTAAATATCTATTTTAAATCTATAATTTTGAGTAGAGCTCCCACACCATTTCTGATGTGTTTTGTTTCTCCTTTTCTTGCTAAAAACGTCTTACACTCTATAACGTCAGACTGCTTCTCTTGGGTACTGTGAGTTTGTGTGTGTGTAGACATCTGATTGGTCTGATTCATAGTCTCCAGCACTTTCAGCTGCAAATCTGGGTCAGATATTTGACTCGGTTTATATTCTGACATTTACAAGACCAGATCCGACACAAACTCAGCTTCAGCAGAAACATAAACAGACGCAGCCACCGCACAGGCGTTCGGCTCGCATATGTTCACCTGCTCACATGATGAAGGCCAACTAGTCTGGCTGGCCGACTCAAAACTGTGCTGGAAAATCTGAGTTAAACAGCTGCATGTGTTATGTGTGTTGCGAATGGTGGGAATAACATTGGATTTCCATTGGCTGGTGTCTGCGGACTCACATATATCTTGAATCAGTGTCAGTACAGCAGCTTCTCTCATGCCACAGCAGTTCTCAAGCAGGTTCAGATACTGAAAACACAGAGATTCATTTGATGATAACATGCAACTGAATAGAGCTGCACGATTAGCAGAAAAGCGATTTTTCTGATTGCAAGTGCAATTTAAAATGTGCAAAAAAAATTTTTGTGATTACAGTTTTGCTCAAGAGTTTACATACCCACTGCAGAATCTGCGAAAATGTTAATCATTTTAACATTAGATGGTTGGCGCATGTTGTGTTTCCAAATGCAACTTTTGTTTGAAGCAGAATTTACTAAACCGAATTGCTCTGAGACACCAGCGGATAATGAGCTGCTGGTGTGGAAATGAACACAGTGCCATGCTTCACTCTGAAACATGCAGTGTTTAGGATTCTTTGATGAATAAAAAGTTAAAAAGAACACCATGTATTCAAAATATAAATCTTTTCTAACAATATACACTACCGTTCAAAAGTTTGGGGTCAGTACATTTTTATTCTTTCTTTTTTTGAAAGAAATTAAAACTTTTATTCAGCAAGGATGTGTTAAATTGATAAGAAGTGATAGCAAAGATTTATATTGTTAGAAAAGATTTATATTTTGAATACATGGTGTTCTTTTTAACTTTTTATTCATCAAAGAATCCTGAAAAAGTAGTATCACAGGTTCCAAAAAAATATGAAGCAGCA